GTTTTCCCCTGGCTTCTCTGCACAAAAGCATGCTTCCTTCTGGTGGTGACACATCGTGATATGCTGAAAGGTAGCCAGAAGAGAGTCACAGTGCTAAAATCAAGAGCTGGAGAAGTGGAAGGTTTATTCTTTGAAAGACCCTCAGGAACGGAGTAATATTCCTTGGACTTTCATTTCCAGAAACTTCACTCAGGTCATTGATGCTTCACTCAGGTGCTGTATAGGGCATTATCTGGTCTTTCATTTATGTAGTGGGCATGGGCAAATAACAAATGAGGAAAATAATAGAGCGAAAGTTGTTGCTTTGTCATGTTTTCTGTGTCTTGCCTTAACATACTTGGCTCTTGGTGCAGGCAGCTCTCCTTCTGAAAAAGTTCCCTCATTAGCTGTCCCTAATTTACATCTACAGAGCATCTGCATAATTGATATAATTTATGGTTTTATTAGTAGGAGCCATTAAATCCCCTCCCCTCAAAATAACATCAGAGAGGAAGCTCTGCAACATGCAGTAAAGAATGAAGGAGTTATTTAAAGAATAGAAGTGCACAAAAACCTTACCGTGCTTTTTAAACATGATAATGCTGCATGAGGCAGGGTTTCCAAATATCCACTTCTAAAAGTACCACAAAGTAAGTGGAGCCAGTGTGCTGTCAGGGTTACAGGCTTTTCAGAGGGGCTTTTACAAGGTCTTCCTTTGAAAAAATCCCCTGGTGCTAATTTTTCATTTTATGCTTGGTAGCATCATAATGACAACTCCAAATTTGTAGTGTTGCTGCAGACCTTGTGTTCTGTCCTGCAAGTGAAATTATGGGAAAGGTGGCAAATGCTCAGGTAACAGTCCCTGTTACGTATGCTCTTGTGGGGTAACTGCTGTTATTTTGCTCATTTCACTTAGAATTACGTCAAGATACTAACAGAGCTAACAGAGATGTCTGAAAAGCTTTATCTAACCAACGTTGGCATATATCAAGCAGACATATATACCGGAAATAACCATTCAAAACTCCAGTCTTGGTCAAAAATGAGAGACTGGTATTTTTAGGGTACAGTTTACTTGATGCTAATATAGACATCTACCTTCCACTTCAATGCATTTTGTTCCCAAAGTGTTTATTTCTTATAATTAGTTAAAACCCCGCATGTACAGAACATGTTTTAAGTTAGGTGAGATGAAATCTTCTCAAAGAAAATCAGGGTCTGTACTGTTCTACATGTACATGGTAGTAACTGTAGAACATGGTACCTAAGGAAGCTGGAGATACAGTATTGTTTGATGAGTCTTTATGAAAGCAAGTGATGTAAGCTTTTAGTTGAGCAAAACATACAAGGTTTTTCACACAATGCTATGACCTGGTCGGTAACACTCTTTTTGAGTTTGGTGGAAAGACCTCCCAGAGCAATGGACGTGCCTATTATATCATGAAGTACTCAGTTTTTCAGACCCCAGCCCCTATAAGCATGTCACTCAGCAATATTTTAAATTGAAAACTGGATGTGAAAGGTTCTTTGTACAGTGCAAAGGAGAAATAAGAACCTAGGAATGAGATGCACACTAGAGCCTGTAGAGCAGAGAGTTTCCTATTAAGGTGAGAAATGGCTGAGGAGCTCCTAGAAAAAGGCATTTCATTGACATGTGAGACACCACTGTAAGAAACTACAGCGTCTGGTAAGGAAGTGGTTATAACACTCACTTGGAATGTGCAGATCAAATTCACATCCTTTCTGTGCTCATCTCGCTGAGGAAACTGGTCAAGTACCATGAAATAATCTGTGGTAGGTCTTTCTCAATCCCTGCATGTGTTTGAGACACAGAGGCTGAGAAGGACTTTGTATTCCTCTGCTTAAGATTTGCATCTAACAAGGGGAGATTCTGTTCCCAGCCCCCAAGCTAATGTATTTTTAAGTGTTTTCATACAAAGCAGAACAGTTTCAGCAGAGGTGGCTGGGAGAGGTCTATTTCAGAGCAGTTTGTGATCTGCTAGATGTGACCATTTTCTAGTTGAAGGAAAACACAGATAGAAGTCAGCTAAAACAGACAGAGACCCTAAAATCCACCAAAACTTCACACTGTGCGTGCTTTAGTTACCAAAATGTTGGTCTAAGATCTAGGCGGTCACTTTTGGACTTTTTTGGAACCATGTACTAGATGAGGCCTTCCTAGACTTGATGTAATAGATCTATGTCATTTTCCCTGCATAAGTCTGGCTTAAGAAAATTACATGAGGTTTTTAGGCTTTTAGCAGTATAATTCAGTACATGCTGAGGATACATAGGTAAAATTACATAAAGTGATTTGCAAACAAAGGCGTCAGCTTTCACTCATTGCAGGACTTTTTTTATCTATTTATTTTTCATGCGTTGTTGGAAGCAATTGCTTTCTGTTTCCTCATTTAAAGCTGTGCCATGGTGTGGCAATGGCTAAACAACAAAACAAGCTATGTATCTGCCAAGTATATTGTGATCCTCTGATTCCAGCTGAGAAGGTGACCTGGTTTAGTGTGAGGTGTCCCTGCCCACGGCAGGAGGGTTGGAACTAGATGATCTTAAGGTCCTTTCCAACCCTAACTGTTCTATGATTCTATGATTCTAAGGCTGGTGTTAAAATAATCCAGCTGTCTCAGCAATTGTGTGGATGTCACTTTTAGCAGCACAGTTTAAGTGTCAGGAAGGCTAACTCAAGGCTTCCTTTATTATTTTGCCTTCCCTGCTTTAAGCCCACTAGGACAGGATTTGCACAATCAGAAATGCTGATTCTTGTGGCTTCAACTCCCTGCATTGTGCTGTCTGTAGCAGCACAGTCCAGCTGTTTATGCATGTCTAATACATCTCCTAAGGGTATTTGTGAAGGAAAACCAGCTGCCCCTTCAAGGAAGGTAACAAACATTCTAAACTCAGGTGCATTTTACACAAATTACAGTGACTTGATTCGTACTGTGCCTCAGCCTGTGGCACAGACTGCCTGTGACATTGTTGATTTTTTTACTGGGTTTCACAGCTGCTAAATAAAGATGCAACTTCTAATTTATTTTTTTTTTATGAGTGGGAGAGAGAAATGCATACCTGCTGTGTATCTAATTTAAAGTCGCAGATTCATAGTGTTATCTTAGCCTGCTAAATCCTCCTTTTCCATGCCTAAGCATGTTGTATTGTGGGTATTGCAGAGTGGAGCTGCACTATAGTATCAGCTACTGAAATGTATGTACCTGTGATGCAGGTTGAATAGCAGTACTTGACTCCTATAAAATGTCCTGCTCAATGTTCAGGATCTGCAGGATGGATCTCTGTATCTTTTCTGCCCTGCTTTAAATGCCAGTTCCTTTGCTTATATTGTTTGCTGGAGCATACACATCAGTATATTCTGTTGTTGTTAACAAAAATTGCTCTACAGACATTGAAAAGTGATGTTATTCAAGTACATGGTAAATAGGAGCAAAATCTACTGAAATAGGTGTGCTTCCCTTCATCATGAAATGGTAGCTACAACTGTAAGAGCAAGGTCATTTTGAATAGTGTGTGCAAAGGATAGAGGTGAAGTTTTCCAAGGCTGAGATTGGATATCCTAAACATTAGCATGTTAGATGCACAGCACATCCTTTCCTGCTTTCTTTTCAGACCACTGTATGTTTTGACTGCATTGAAATGTTTGGCTTGCAGGGAATTATTCAGATGTTATATACTTTTTATTATAAATTTTCAGGGTTTTGGTATTACCTGTTTTGCTTATCTTGATTCAGTTGTATGGTGAGACCATTTGAGGTCACCTTGGGTATCTGAAGCATCTCCAAAGGACTGGTTTGTTAGTATGATGCTGCAGATTTGTGCTTTGCTGGATTAGCACATGGAGGCTACATACCTAATGTGGCAGTATGTGGTGCTTTTATTTAGATGACTGAGTAAAGCCCCATGTGTCTATGCTTAGTAGTTCTATGTTCCCCTTTACAGACATGAAGAAGCACTTTTTGGGTGTTATTCATCTCATCCTAGAGAAAATATCTAAAACAATTCACATGCATTGCATCTTAGAAATGACTATTCTTCTTCATTCCTTGATTTATTTATATCAAAGTAGTTTAGGCGACTGGCTCATATGTATGTTGAAGACATTAAAAGTCAGATGATTTTAATTTCACCCTGGGTGCAATATCTGATATAGAAAGAGGCAACCTGCTGTTGCCTAATCATAAGGTCTCTGCTTAAAACCTGCAAGACTACAAAGAAAGGCAGAGACCTAACACAGCTATGGAAGACAATTTGCCTTTGATATACATAGCGTGTAGCTCATTAATTGGCTATTGTTTGGCCTAGTGCAGGTAATACAGTAAAAATCTTGTGACATTGCAGTGCTGTAATATATCTGTTTTTATTGTGGACCTGTCAATTCAAACCAGAATAGGCTTTTACTAGAACAGGGGCATCTGCTGTTTGAGTGTTTTTAGTAGATAATATCTGTGAGTTATATTTTTCTTATAGAATATTTGGATATAGATCAAGAAGCTAGATTTAACTATTTAATTGGTAAAGTCACATCAACCCATAGAATACAGTACCCTGAATTTTGTATGAGGTTATGGATACCAAACATACCTAATTAAACAATATGGTAATTGGTTCATAGAAGATGAAGAAGGTGATAACTATAAATTTTCTATAGTTGTTTTTTAAAGGTATTTTATCACACCTTTTATTTGTTTTCTTTCTGATAAGCTGTGGGCACTCATAAACTACAAGAGCACTCTTACTTTGTTAGATTAATCCTAATTCTTTTTCTAAAGGCAGTAGCTAATAATTTATGTATTCTTTGTGAAAACACATTTTCATTAATAGTTGGATTATTTATTTGTAATAAGCAAATAAACTAACAAACCAAGACAAAAAACATCTTCACCTCATTGAAAAATGGGAACTCATGCTGTGCAGAAATGTGTTTATTTTTTCACATCAATAACTTCAGCTTATGAAGAAGTTTGAAATGTAACATGCTGTGTCCTATTTTTTCCTAGGTCTCCTATGTAAAAGCTATCGATATCTGGATGGCCGTGTGCCTTCTCTTTGTCTTTGCTGCATTACTGGAATATGCAGCAGTCAACTTTGTTTCACGGCAGCACAAAGAGTTTCTGAGGCTTCGAAGAAGGCAAAGAAGACAAAACAAGGTACAGCTGCTCTTTACTTGGGGTGACTGCATCTGCCTTAATAGCACACTGATGTGCAGTTGATTTCTCACCTCAGTCCTGCCTTGCAGGACAGTCTCATTCTAAAATTTGCTTTCGAGTGATTTACTCCCTGGTGAAGATCTGATAACTGGCTTCAGGGTTTATTTACAGTTTATGAAGTTATTCATAAATGTCAATGGACTAGTCACTGAGCCCAAGAATTTTATTCTCTTTTTGCAATTGCTGAGGCAGCCATACCTCTACAAATATTGTGCTACTCTGTGGCACCCACCAGTGGATAAGGAACTGTTGGAAGCAATGACATAGATAGAGTACTGATATTATCTCCTTGACATCATACAAATGTGCTGACAACAACACATGCCCAAGACCTGTCTTTTCTAGTGCTATGCTAGCTAGTCATACTAAAATGGGAGATTCCTTAAGCAGCCCATCGCAGTGATCGGCAGTTCTGCCCTTACTTTTAAACCAACAGCAACTGCTGTCTTTCCCAGCTGAAACCAGGATATGTGGGCACTTTAAAAAAAAAAAAAAAAAAGAAAAAAAAGGAGAAAGATTAGGAGAATTTCCTCTCTAGATTCTACTATTTCACAGTTTGTTACTGATACAAACTTCAATTTTTTTAAAAAAGGACTATTTGTGAATATCGCTGTCATATCATTTTATACCAGGGACTGAAATGTAGAAAGGAGGCTTGGTTTTAACCTAGATGTCAGTCTTAAAATATTTTTAGTAAGTCTGTCCATGTTTCCTGTTTTTTTTTTTTTTCATTTATCTGTAAATGGAAAGACAAGAATAGATATTAAATTGAATTTTAGTCCAGTTATGATCACCCCCACAACTATAAAGATTTCATCCTTCCTGTATCTGTGTCACTGATTTTCAGTATCAGTAGAAACATTTAGGTTGACGCTGTACATATGCATTTTCTAGGTGAAGTAAATATTTGCTTGAGCTGTGCAAGTGCTTCAAGCCACAAATAATGGTTTCCTTTACAAGAGAGATGACAACAATGGCACAGGGCATTTGTGTTTTGACAGGTCTGTCTAATAAATATTCTGTAGCTAATGTAATATTTGATGGATGCTCTGGGAAGCAATCCAGTCAGATGAATTGAGATTCCCATTAAGATTAGATTACAGGAGAGCAGAAATGCTTGCCCAACTACGGGCACACATGCCAGATGCACTGGCACTGAAAGCCTTTGCTTCCAAAACCAGCATGGCAGCCGCTGAAGCTGCTGTATGAGGCCTGCAATTTCAAGTTTGGATACAATGTCTTCTTTAGAGAGGAACTGGTGGGCAAGAAGCCACTATTGGTTAAGAAGCAGTATCCAGTGGCATCATTCAAAAATGACTAGGTTTTGGTCCATGGAGGTGGTGGTTCATCTATGGTGGGAGTGATTATTCTGGTAACTATTAAAAGGAAGTTATTTAAAATCAAATCACCAGAAGATCTGTGTTTATCCTAGGGCAGTTGGTACATGGATTCTTTGCAAAATAGGTAAAGTCCTAACTAAATCAAGGAAACATTCTTCTGCAGTAAAAGACACCTATTTGCACAATCTTTATTTCACATTTCCTATTAAACTGGTTCTACAAATTTCAAAATAATAATGCTACTAAGACCATCTTTTTGAGAGGTATTTTCTGCATCCCTTTACTTGAACTTGCCTTTCATTTCTCAGTTTATTTTTCTTTGAAAGCAATTCACATTGTTTTGCATGATGGTCTTCTCTAACAGAGCTGTTCTTCTCTTTGCTTGTTGTGTGTGTGTTGTCATGTTACCACTGCGCTATTCTCATTCTTGCTGCTGCTATCTATGCTGACACTCTGGGGACAGGCACAGACTATGACTGTTGGGAATGAAAGCGTTGAGTCCGTGCGGCGCATGAATGGCTTGCGGAGCAAAGAGTCACCAGCTTACGGGACAGTGAATCAGATCGGCAATTCAAGTTTGAGGGTAAAACTGTAGTGAGAAGAGAAAGCAAGAGACAGATTTAGTAGCAACAACGATGTCATAAATCAGCAAAATGGCTGATTTTGATGGCATCAGTAGTAGTCTCTTGTGTTCTCTTTGCTAAATGTCCCCACAAAATACACAATACTGTCCCCAGCATGAACAGCAGTTCAGTGTTGTACATTCTTGTGGCCCACCCTTATGCTTGTTTTCTTCCATGTTTGACTTGTGCCACCCCCATTCCAAACCTCCCTGGGAAAATGCATGTATATTTGCTAACCTGATCCTGTATAAATATAAGGTGAATGGGGAAGACAGAAGCATAGGAAATGCCTTGTGACAGTAAATCCCACATTGTGTCATCTTTCAGATCAGTGCATTCCAACAGAATTTGGTATGCATAATGAAATGCATTTTTATTGGTATGGTATTTATTCCTGAACTGTCAACCATCAGTGTTTCTTCTTGTGACGTCCTGAGCCCTGCTTAGTGGAGTATGAATAGCTATGAATGAAAAGATGTATTTCATTGATTTCATTTTATTTTCTTGGAGAAGAGCCATGGGGCTGAAATCTTGTACACAGTGTAACATGTAGCAGATCAGAAGCAATAAGATAGCAGATGATAGATCCAGATTATGAGTGAGATGTGGAGGTAATAAAATCAGTGATGGAGAGAGAAATGAGCTTAGTGTGCAACTCACTGCTCTGTAGTAGTAGCAGAGAAATGAAATGTATTCATTTAAATAAAATGGGACCAGGATTTAAATCTTTCCTAGAACAAAAAACATTGCCTGAGCAGCTTTTGAGCAGTAATGAGCCTCTTATTTTGATCAAACTCTGTAAAGTTATGTGATTATAAGATGCAGATGATTTCAGTGTATTTTGTGTAAGGGGAATTTTGAAAATCAAAGAAAAACCACAGTTCATGTTACACAGCAAAATTAGGATAGAGCAATAAATTGTTCTCTTTTGGAGCTACAATAGCAAGCAGTAGAAGAGTGCCTTCATTTCTGGGTATTTTCAATTGTAAAAATAATCGTATTTACACATATAGAAAACTGAACATGAAATTAAAAAATCAGGGTCTTTCTAGAAGATACGACAAATATGACTATGCTGCCACTGGAAATCTGATGCCATGCAACTACAAAACCAGTCCAAGTAAGTACTCAGTGTTACATGTCTTATCAGTCACAAAGTGCTAATAGTCCAGCTAAGGTTTGTGTGAGTTAAGACCTGGTTATCCTCTCTATAAGAAAGCTTGCAGAAACATCTCTTCAGCTTTTGAACACTATGTATTACATATACAGAAGGAGTACTATGCAGAGGGGCCATGCCACTGAAATACTTTTGCTGCAGAGCCCTAAGAGCCGGAGCTGCATTCCATTGATTTCCCCTGAAGAGCTCCTACAACAGAAGTGATGTGCACCTGGGAGATGAACAGAGGAGACACACCAAGATAGAGGCTTCTGGAGCAATGCTACCATAGCTGCAGCTCAGTACTTTTATGATCAGGAGAAGGATGTTTTTGTGCAGAGGAGAGCATAGCAGCATAACCTGTGGTGCCACAAGAAGCCTCCTAGGGAGCTTAATTTGCTGAGGTATTGCTCACTGAATCAAGGGTTTATGGTGAATGCAAATCTAAAAGTCATAGTCAAGAGGAAACAGTGTAAGAGAGGGGTGACTGAATATTTACACTGTATCATTCAATGCTAAGCTGGGGAGAGAAAACATAGGCACTAAATCATGCCTGACCAGGTTTTCTGGTTTTAATAGCTAGGTCTACAAAACAAGAAAAATACTGTTCTGTTTTGTAAGCCTGTATCTCTGCCACTGTTTTTGTTACTGCTTCTGCCAGGTCTTGTCCTTAGTGCTGCAGCCCTCAGAGCATTGCATGAAAGCACAAGGCACCTTAAGAGACTGTTAGGTCTCTTAAGCCAAAGATCAGACTGGCTAAAGTCTCTCTATACAAATGTGCGTTCTGACATTGATGATCCAGAAATTATATTTACAGCTGAACCATTGACATGTCATTGCATTAGAAAAGATTGTGTTATCAGGACCTGCTGCCATTGTCCACACAGAATATATCTCTATATCCTCAGATAATCGGTGCAACCTTCCCCATGCAGTTTCTGTTAGAGAAAGCATTAATACTTGTCCTAAAGATTTGTGGAGTCTTCCTGCTCACAGTGAAATATATACCCGTCAGCAGCAACACTTCACTGTAAAGAGAGATGCTTGCCTATGTATTGCATATCATGCTACTACTTTTTGCATAGAGTATAGGCTGCAGAAGCCATAAGTCTGATGGTACTGAGGACATAGTACAGTTTTATTATATTAAAACCTAAATTTGCATAGTGCCAGATGACCAGAAAGATAATAGATTCTTTTTTAAATATGATCTGTAATAATCAAACAAGATTTGCTTATTTTCCAAAATGATGGTTTTCAGGGAAGCAGAACTCTGTTTACAGAGGTTCAATCATCCCTTTTTAAAAACAATAATTATTATGTTATATGATCAGTAGTCAATACAGTACACTAGTATTCACACCATCACCTCAAAGGGGACTTCCTAAATTATTTCTGTGGAGGTGATGTGACAATTATACTGTGACCAAGAACAGGGTTTAAGTTTGGGAATGTTAGTGTTAAAAGCAATACTTTATGGCTTGAACAAAAAACTGTGCAGCTGGAGGCTGTGACAGACTTTAATCCCATGTGCAGGGAACACAGAGCAATACAAATAACAATGCTGCAGCCAATGGAGTTCACATGCATGCAGATTAGCAAAGGGAGGCACAAATGGTGTTTTCAGTTGAAAGAGCTGGGACTAAGTGATTATAGCAGCAGAGGATAACTCGACTGAGCAAAGATGGCAGCACCTTACTGAGTGCTTCAGAGAACTGCTGGTCTCTGGATGGAGCTGCCAATGGCAAGGTGGGTACCCCAAGTACCCAAACAAAGTCGCTGCGACTGTCAAGATAATACAGTACTTCCATCTTTAAAAAG